CTTGCGTTGGCCTGGAGTGAAAAATGGCCGTAGTATGCGTGTAAACAAAATCGCCGTAGCTGCCACAAGCACACAAGAAGTACAGACAGACAAACTCACACTCACACTCACATCCAGTGACCTCACGGAACCTTCCTCTTACCATTAGTTTATCATCTATTAGCGCTTCCCCTCCCCCCTTTCCCCCACACCCCATGCAGCACAAGCTCCGAAACCCCCTGCCCTAATGCTACCAAACCTAACCACGCCATTTCCCCCCTATCCTCCCGCCGTCCGCCCCCCACATACAGACGAACACACCACATCCCCCACTCAACACTCCCCCATACACACATACAGACGAACGCACCTCAATCGCCGCCATGACCGCGTCGTAGTTGTGGAGGGGCTCCCCCATACCCATAAACACGATGTTCGCTATGGGAATGTGTACGGATTGCTCGGCCAGGTAGCGACGGGCCTTACGAAGAGCGGGGCCGGGGATTCCGGGGAACGAGGGGGGGGAAATGAGTGTCTGTATGTGTATATGAGCAAGAATGGGTTAAGAGGCGGATATGTCGATATGTGAAATCATGAATTGGGAAAAAGAACTAGATCAGATTTTTGCACACATACATACATACACACATATTTTCCTCTGCACCCCTTTCGAAGTAGTGTATAACGGGGTTTTTGGAAACACACATACAAACCGGCGAACAGGTACAATGCATCATGGGTCACGCAGCCGTGCCCCCTCCTCTCCTTCCCCCCCCCTCGCATTGCCCCGCGGTTAACCCCATTACAGTCCCCTCCTCACTTCCCCCGCCCCCTCCTCCCCCCCTCCTCCCCCCCTCTTCCCCCCCCTCCTGGTTTTCTCCCCCCTCCCCCTCCTCACCTCCACCACTTGCTCAAGGATTTGTGCCGTACTGAGATTCCCCAAAAGCCCCATTCGGCCCGTGTAGCAGAACTGACAGTTCATGGCGCAACCAACCTACACGATTATGTATATATGTATGTATGTGTGTGTGGGGGGGGTGTGTGTGGGGGGTACTGGTTAGCGAAGTCCGGACAGAAATACATACCGACGATACCGCTGCTGAAAAAGACAAGACAGGATGAGAACACCCCTCTCCCCCCCTTCCTGCCAACCCCTCTCTCCCCCTTCGCACAA